GATTTCAACATGCGGAGGCGAGATACCTTCCATCTGCGACGTGCCGCTGAGGTGTGGATTGGCGTTGCCGCAAAGAGTCCAGTCTACGTCATTCTTCCGGTGTGGACAGAGGAACCCCGGCCTGGAAAACTGGCTCTGAAAGAAAAATAAGTCATTAAGAAGGTGAGTAAACGCATCGATTTCCAACATCAAACTATCTGATGAGGAAAATAGACATATTTGAGGTTATATAATTACTATGGGTTTTTTCCTATCCACACTAAAAGCAGCTGTCATGTTAAGCAAGAAAACAACTGCCAGTTACAGCGTATTTGATCTTTAATTGTTATGTGAAGCAACCAACAAAAATGTCTTGTCTAAAGTAACAAGACTCAGGTTAAAGGTGCATTCACTTGTCTTCACGCCCATTGTCATTGTAGTTTAGTCTCCTCAAATTGCTTTATCGTTTCACAGCAGGTCAGCCAACACTGATCTAATTGACAGCAGAATGGCCAAAACAATGCCATTGCAGGACATTGCAAATTTGAGAGGGAACAACTGATCTAGAACCCCGACATTCAACTAGTGGATGGGTTTCCAAATGAGAGGCATAAATGAGAGCACTGCTTCTGAGGTGTGACACTTACAATCAAACCAAATCAAAGCTGTTCACATTCAGTCATTCAAAATGTGTCAATTATTTTGATTGAACCAACTGATCCCCCGTTTCCTCTTGTTTTAAAGCAAGTGAGCATAATGCCTCAGCTTACATGACCACGACTCATCACCATCATTTTAAACCATTAACATCACTCTCAACCTGACATCAGCAACAAACAACAGACATTCATAAACAGACAGAGAATGTGGTGCTGGAGACCTGATTTGGTCTAATGAGCGTGGATGTCCCATGCGACGAAAAGTCCCACACATGACCTCATTTACAAAATGCAAAGCTCACAATAAAGTCATTCACATGGGAGATCAAAAGAGATCAGGGAGGATAGCATTGGACACATACCATGACCACAAGCCTACAAGACACCGATGAATGTAGCAAACCAAATGGGCCATCATGTCACGGTTGTATTGGATTAAAGTGTTTGGATATTTGACATGGCATATTCCTATTGAGAGGTTGGCTGACACCTATAACTTACATTAGATAGCCAGGCATGCATTTACAAAATGCAGTGTCACTTTTTTTTAGATCTGTGTTTCTGAATTAATTTAAGGGTGATGAATACATTTGACCACAGTATTTGCCAGGATTTTCCCTGTCAGGGTCTGGCTTAAAGGTGATGCTTTAAACAACTGAACACATTGACAGCTGTCAATCTGACATGAGCACATGCATCCTGCAGATGGCTGATACACCTCTGGCTGTGCCTTGTCAAAAAATAAAAGAGTTAAAAATTCTAAAATGAAACATATTGGACTTCATTGGAACCAATCCTAGAAGGAATTTCCAATGTAACTAATCAAAACTTGATTTTTAAGAACTCAGTTTCTAACAATTCCCAACAAGACAAGATCATCCAACTGTAAAACATAAACGGGAATGAAGAAAATCTTACAGGAACTTCTGCAGCTGCCATGTGAATCATTTAAATGTCTAATAGTATGACATTTTTTCAGTACATTAAATTTAAAGATCTTCTAAACATTACTATCCAATGTTTAAAAAAACTACATACTCTTTAAAAAAAACTACATAGGAATCAAACTATCTTCTATGGATTTCAGTTTATCCAATAGGATCTTATTTGTTACTTGTTCCAACTGGGATCCTTTAGGAATTATTCAAAAGTAGAAATTCCAACAGGGATCCAGCACACATTCCTTTTTGACTATTCATGTTCATTTACGAGTTTGCGTCAGTTTAAGTGGTGATACCATGAAACACTGATTGTATCACATGATGCTACACCGTGATATTTTGATCATCTGATACCATCATTGTACCATGGTACTGCTGTCACAGGACTTTTCTGTAAAGGTGGTATTCCCAAGAATACCATGATATTGCCATGTTCTTGTGGCAGTATGAATATGATATTCAGAAAACCATTGTATTTATATGCTACTCTATGCATTTCAAAGAATGCAATGCATTAGAATAGTACAAAAAGAAATAGTACTGAAAGACCATGGCAATTGCATGGTCATTTGGTCATTTTATTAGTGACTTTAGCCAATACATGAAAAGGTACCATAGTAGAACAATAATATTCCCTGGAGTGCCATGTAAATATCATGGTTTTATAGGGGTGGGGGAAAAAAATCGATACAGCATAGTATCGAGATATTTTACTGTATCGATACACGGACGCCAAGTATCGATCTTTTATTGGTAGAACAATAATATTCCCTGGAGTGCCATGTAAATATCATGGTTTTATAGGGGGGAAAAAAATCGATACAGCATAGTATCGAGATATTTTACTGTATCGATACACGGACGCCAAGTATCGATCTTTTATTATACTATTTGGTAGAATAACAAAATCAATTTCTTTACAGTGCACAAGATGGTGTTGAGTTTTTTCTAAAATCCTTTAATGCACGGCAAGCCGTTGATTATCCCGCTTATTCCCTGGTCATTTGCCAGTATTGACAACTTAAAGCGGTGTATGATGTTAGCAGTGCAATATTTAACCGGAAGGGTAAAAATTAAGGTTATTTTTGTCAGTTACAGCTCGTTAGCTCTAGCTTTCTGCCCACTTCAAATCAGATACAGAGATGAAATAGTGTGGTAAGACCACATTTATTTGAATGAATTATGGATTGAGAGAGAGATGACAGTTGTGTGTGTGAATTACCTGCGTCTGTGCGTCTCTCTCTACAAACTATGAAGCTGTTTAGTTACTTCGATTTTACCTCGTTGCCGAGGAAGATAATGAAGCGATCTAGTATCTATGTTATTTTATTAATAAAAGTCGCGGGGCAGCACCGACAAAACGTTTCTGTGTGTGTGTAGTGCGATCTGCAATCTCCGACCTCTCTCCCTCTCACTGTGTTTATGTTAGTGTTGGGTGGGTCGTTCTTGAACGATTCGTTCATTTTGAACGAATCTTTAATGCGACTTGGGAAGAACGAGTTGTCTCGGGGAGTGATTCGTTCAGTCGCGCATCCGCAACATCCTATAGGTTCTGTACTGGAATTAGTCAAGTAGTTCATCTGTTTCGAGTCTTCGGGTTTTTCGAGTCGTTCGTACATCACGTGACAGCCCCATACACTTAACCAATGCAGTCTGAGCCAGAAAGAGAATTGATTAGTTCATCTCTCGAGTCTTCTGGTTTTTCAAGTCGATCGTTCATCACGTGACAGCCCCATAAGCAAACCCTATGCAGTCTGAGCCGGAAAGAGACTTAATAATAATAACCAACTCTTTATTTCCTTTGTTACAACATTCAGTGTTATGGAAAAGAACCATAATGACCGAAATTCACACATTTATAAACTGTAAGAAGTAAAAAGCTACAATTTGAGACCAGAAACGCATCATGGAACTAGAGTAAATAATAATTATAATAATGATGATGATAATAATAATAATAACTATGCACCCGTTTGTAAGGAAGCTTGTAAATTAACTAATTTCTCTATCAAATGTTGTCACGTCACGTGACAAAAGAACGAATGATTCGAAAGACTCGAGAGATGAACTAATCAATTCTCTTTCCGGCTCAGACTGCATTGGTTAAACTTATGGGGCTGTCACGTGATGAACGAACGACTC